GGCTGGGGCCCGCGCCCGAGGCGCCGCCGCCGCTTCCTTCCTCGCCAAGGAGCTGAGGCCTGGCGGCGCCCAGCCGGGTGGCATGTCGGGCCCGCCGTGCCTGCGCGCCACGCCCGGCCTCTGCAGGGGCTCGGGTGTTCCCCGGTAACGTGTCCGGGCGGGAGCGGCCCGGCCCGGCCCCGCGGGTGCCGGCCTTCGGGGCCGAGGCCTTCTCTACCAGGGTATGGGCTGCTCCTAGGGGAGCGGCCGGCATCCCGGTGTGGTGCGGTGAGTCCCGGGGACTACAGGTCGGGCCGTCGCGCCCTGCCGGAGAGGCGAGCCGTTTTTTTCGGCCCGGGTGCGCTGTGAGGCAGATACCCCCTGTGCAACGTCCCTAATCTCTTATAATCCGCGGATCCTTCCCCCAGTGTTTGTGTTGTGCTGTTCAGATTTCCATTCATTCGAGGCTTGTAAAGGATGGTTGTCCTGTGCGGAGACTTGGTGACCGAGTTTGGCTGGATTTGGTAGTAAAACTGAGCGATTGTGTGTCTGGCGTTGAAGGAGGAAGGGAATGGAGATGGCATGACAAAAATACAAGCGCAGTCTTGAAAAAGTAGTTCTGTGAGATAGACTCTTGCCTTCCATGTAGATGGTGCTTTAAACATGTTTGTTTTGTATGGCTGGAGTTCGCTTTCACCCTTTCTGAGCAATGCTCTTTGGAGTAGAATGAAGGTAAGTTTCATTTCTTTTTATTCTTGTGATGTACTTGAGTATTTTTCAGTATTTGTGCATGTTGTCTTACCTCTGAAATCTTTATCAGAGAGACTTTGCAAAACCATCCAGACTGGGCCTCCTCGGTAACTGTCATACCGTAGTTGAAGTTCTGTTTAAACTTACTGGCTGATGGAAGTGGTTGCTGAAACATAGATGAATTGCTTACACCAACATCAGAAGTTATGCACCAGAGTTAATATTTGTACTGTCATGTTAAAATGCAGATTTTTCAGTTTGGTACTCAGTGTTGATTTTTAGCCATTAATGTGATAATTCCATAAAAATGTGTCTAGATCCTTTTCTGTTACAGGGTTCCTTAGTCAACTTCACTAAATGTTGGGGGGGGATGTTAGGGGGAGAGAAATTGCCATACAATACAATGAGACATAACATGCGATGTCTTTTTTTTGTTGTTGTTTACAAGCAGTGTAAAATCACACCACTAGAATGGGAGGTGACTCATTGCTGATTTTGTCCTAAAGTCCTTACTGTTTATGAATATGATGAATATGAAGTTGTCCTGAGTAGGTTTAGGGGACTTTGGCTTTAACCTCCCTGCCCCCCCACTGCCTTCTCATAGAGTAGGTGTTCAGGTTATGGGGTGGATAGGAATATATGTGGCCTAAAACTCCAGAGCCTCTCTCTTCAGAGGAGACTTACCTTCAATCACATATATACACTGTCTGTGGAAGTGTAAGCATTTATATCCATTTTGTGTGGAAAAGGATCTTCCTTCTGGAACTACCCTTTTCTGCTTGAAGCTGTACCACTCAGGATTGTTTATTGCTATAGACAGACTGTGAAGTGGACATCAATATAAGGAAAATTTCTTCTTAATATGCTGTGACATTCACTCCAAGTTCTAATTTAATGGCTGAGGGCTGAGTTATAGCAGTGAACAGATGTCTAAAGGATTATTTCTTTAATGAGTTGTTTGATGCTTGTACTTCTTTGAATGTTTTCTGCTACTGTAGGACTATATTTTCTTCCTGTAACACTTATTATCAGAAGGAGGGTCAAAAATCCAAGGAAAAATTGATGGTTGGCTAAGGAAGGGCAAGGTACAAAGAGTCACTGAAAGTGATCGACAGCAAGGTCTCCACAGAAGCGAGAAGGTGGATGTTTTCCTGTTCTTTAGGTTTGAAAAGCTGTGTTAGTGATGAATTGTGAAGATAGAGCTTGTTCTTATATGTTCAGCAAGATTAATTGTTAACATAGAAAGCACTAAAGGGCAGTATAAACTGGGCAGTATGCATCAGGAAAAGCTAATTCTGAGCTTTTTTGTTTCTTGCAAGTGATGGGAATTGCATAATGCATATTTGTGTAGAGGAAGTCGGAGTACAGAAATTTTGGGTGAAGATGGTCAGTGTTACAATGCATGTGAAGAAAACTTGTTTAGTATTATAACATGTTTTTTAGTCTTATTCTATATATTCCTATTCATCCATTTTTCCTTCTGGCCTCTTCTCTAAACTTTAAACTACTCTTGTACCTTTTCCTAATCAATTATACTTGTGCAAAGTTCACAGAAATGAGTCAGATGACTTCACATGTTGTAACGTGTATGTGGAGGTAGCTAAGGAAGAGAGAAATCTTTCACTGTGATTTTGTTGATGTCATGTTTTCAATGACTCTTTCCTCCACAGGGTTGCTCTCCAGAAGCAACACTCAATGAGCGTTTTTTGAAATCTTTTCTTAAATCTTCATTACAGAGGTAGAGATGTAAATCAGTCCCACCAGGAGACTTAAGTCAACAAGCAGTATAAAACATTATTGAAGTAAAAATCTGGTGGTGGTGGTGGCAGGGGTTGGAAATAGTGGTAGGTTGAAGGTAGGGTCAAGACTAAGCTTTTTTTTTATTCAGTTTTTAATCACTTTCACTCTCATGACTTGTATGTTATATGGGACCTTGCCCAAGATGATGAATCAGCATAACAAAACAGGGTTTAATGTGGCCCTTCTTTAGAAGAACATAGAAGTGATTACACCTTAGATGTGAAATGTGATTTTTATGTCCTGAAGCCTGAAAGACCTCTTTGAATCAGCCCAGGAAAGACTGGGCTGCAAAAATCTGCTCCAGTACCTATTGTGTCATGAAGTTCTAGCAGTTAATCTATCTTTTT